GGACCCTCAGCTCTCAGGACCTGCAACTTGAACTCCTAAACCTCAAGAACGCTGAACCCTCAACCCCACAACCGCAGACAGCCTGATTTTCGAGCTAAGGAAGGGGCCCTCCATGCCCGCCCCCGCAGCAGAGTCATCGCCCACTGATGAGGCTGTGTCGGGGCACTGAGGGTTAGGGAAACTGCGGCTTTATTCGAGTTCAAGGGTTCAAGGGTTTACGTTTTGGGGCCGAAGTTTGGGTTTGTTGGGATGATAGGGTCTTCTACGGCTTTCAGAGAGTAGGGGGTTTCGGGGATGCACATGCTTTACCAGGCCCTATCATCGTTTGCTTGGTCAGGCTGGCTGTCGGGAAGATGTTGGGGGGTATGCGTAGGTTGGGCCCCTTTATGTAAGAGTAGTAGTATAAGCGCCTAAATAATCACCTATGCCATTTTGGGGTTCCTTTTTCTATTTTATAGTATAATGGGCGCCCCAAAACCCTATTCTAAGTATTAAGGCCCCTATATTAGTCATGCGACCCTCTGCTGAGGGAGATGACACATCCTCGGAGACTGAAGCAGCTCCTACGCCAGCGCCCGCTGCTGGTTTGGGGCTTAGACGCTACCGCGCAAGGTCTGTGATTCTTTAACACGTCAAAGATGGGATAGGGTGAAGGCTTCTGAATCACCGCGATCTGTGTAAACAAAATCGATTCTCGAGCTTAAGGCTTAGCAGTGCTCGATTACGACAGAGCGCACCAAGATGCATCGCATTCTGGGGCCTTTGCCAGAGTTGCAAAGCTAGAGCAACAACACTAAAACCAAAAGTACTAAGGAGTCTTACGAAGAATGCTACAAAAAGATATCGTGAGCTTCATGTCTCCTAGGGCGCTAATTATAGCTCATGGCATGCATTGGACGTTCGTAGATTCCTGGTGATATCAAAGAACATGAATTGCGATGAGGTGGGGTGCGAAGAAGGCTCTCTGCCCCAGTGCTTGTGGTGAAGCTCAGGCAAGAGCACGGGCAAGGGTCCTCCATCGAAGGGGAAGACGCTTGGCTGCTGATTCTTGAGCACCACAGCACTAGGGTTTCAGGTTTTGCATTGTGTTTAAGTGCAAATCTAGGCACTGGGACATTTAGGGTTTGAAAGCCCGAAGTACAGCCCTAAAAACCCAACCAACCCTTGAATCCGTAATCCACCCGGCACGCGGCACTGAATCGAAGCCTCGCTGTAAGACGACGGCTGAAAGCATCTTAGATCGAACCTCGGGCTTCGTGGATTTCCGTCTCTGACCTGCGTGCAGGGTTTCTGGTTGTTCTTCAGCTGCTATCTTGGTACAGGGTCCCTATGAGATCCTAAACTAAACCCCGTAAGCAAAACCAAAAAATTACCAGAAATTCACCGACACTCTATGAATCCCTATGTAAGGACCCTGACAGAAGATCCTAGATAGTAGGACCCCAAAATAAGGTAGCTTGCAGCTGTCAAGGAAAGGTCCGGCTCCACCTCCCGCTGCGACGGCGGAGGCCTTCTTTAGGGTTTAGGCTTCGCCTGTATCCCCAAAGCCGACCAAATAACAGGTCATGACCCTTTAACTATAGGGTATAATCCCTGCAACAGTAGTTCTTTGGATCCCCAGGCAGGGTTTATTACGGTTTAGTTTTTATGTTCGAGTCGCTTACCTGTATCCTCATAAAACCTTAAAAACATGAATTGAAGCGCTGTGAACGTGTTGACGATTATGGTGGTTCTGGGGGTCATGCAGAATGCTTCGGCTATTGGGGTTTCGTGGGTTTGTAGTCGTCGTGCTGCTCAGGAAAATAGCGAAATGCGGTTCTGTCTCTGCAGATACCATCCCTCCTCATCCATGTAGGCCGTCGCCTTCTGAGATTGCTTGTTCGGCTATGTGTTGTTTGGCTTGATGCAGGCCTTAGCTGTGTTGCACATCGCGCTGCTGTCGCACTCTTGCTGTGCTCTTGCTGTGACCCGCTTTTCATGTTGCTTTCTGATGTAGGGGCATGCGCCCATGCGGCGAGTTGCGACGGCAATATGTTTGGTTTCCATGTCGTCCTTGCGAGCCGGGCCAGGCTGTCATCTGAATGGGCACGTCGTCAATATCCTTCGTGCAGCAAAGCAACAAGTGGAACCACCACCCTAAAAACCAGAACAGTAGATCTGCAGTCGCGAAGTTCTGCGACAAGCCGAGTGGGTTTACGCATTGCGTGAAGTTTCAGCAAGAGTCAGGCGAGTGGCGTAACCAGCGCGGAGGACAAGTGGAAGCCTCAGAGACGGAATAAGATAGGGCCTTAATAAATACCAACACTATTTTGGGAGCTTCCTGATTGTATTTATATAGGATAATGGGTGCCAAAACCCTGTTCGAATTATTTAGGCTCCTATACTTTTAGAGACCTCAGATAATGATCTGAATGTAATCAATTCAGCTATTGAGTGCTGGTGTGAATGAGTTTGCCCGTAAGCCAGAAACTGTAGCAAGAGTTTTTCCTTGTTCACGCGCGCAAAGATCTTTTGCATATCGGAAGCAATGTTTTCCTTTGTAGAGCGAGTGTTCTGGTGGTTCGGGTTTAGAGTTGCAGGGCTCTGAGCTGCGCATCGATGGTTAGGATACAGACTTGAGTGCATTTCTGCACTGCCGTGACGTCTCAAATGCAACCTGCGGACGCTAGCCTGGCCTTGGTCTTAGCCCAGGATCCCTTGGAAATTGGAATCGGAACCCCATGCCCTAAATTGACAAACTGACAGCTTTTTCCATTGTCCTTTTTGGGGAGCTCGCCTCGCACCCACTTTGTGTGTACCAAGCACGAAGCACAAAGCCTCGAAACCGTAGGGTTTCGGGTTTGGCCTTCTTGATCTTGAACCCTCAACCCTAAACCCTAAACGATCTTGATAAACATGTGAGTACCGGAGGATGGTTTTCAGATTGGTGCTCCGTGGAGTCATCCGGGATAGATGCAATTAGATTTCATGTAGCAACCTGATTGAGAAGCCTTGGGCCTTTGCTAGGGTTCCTTATATGAACCCTACTATTTTGGGGTTATAGGGCCAGGGTTTCTTAATCAGGTTCCTACATCACATTACAAGGTTTATCCACGACTACGAGGTCTTCCTCGGACCGTGTAGCAGACTGCAGCGCGCGAATTTTTATCCTACACCTTAAGCCGTATATGCTACCCCTAAACCCTAGGCCCTAAACCACAAACCCTACACCTTGAAATCCCAAAACCCTACACCCCAAACCTTGCATCCTGAAACCCCGAGATTTGGCCCAATCCTAAACTGTTGGATGAGGTCGAGCGATGCAGCCAGTCTAGCAGCCCCCGCTGCGAAGGCCCAAGCCCTGGGGGGCGACTTAGGGTTAAGGGTTTAGGGCTTAGGTTTTTCTGACTTAAGGGTTTAGGGTTTCGGCTTTAAGGTTCGAAGGTGTAGGTTTCAGGGTGTCAAGTTGTTGTGTTTTCGGATTTAGGGTTTACTGCTTCGGGATGAAGGCCTTCGTGCTGCCACGCCTCCCCATCTTGAGGCTTAGTCTCAGGCGGTTTTGCTACCATAAACTGCGGGCGTTTTCATCAGCTCCGGTGGATTTAAACCATAACTCGAGGATCCCCTTAAGCCTTAAATCCCAAACCTGAGTCAACAAGGGGTACGTAGTTATTCGATCCGGTTCGCAAGCAAGTCTTTGTTCAGCCCTGAGTCAGAACTGTGGACCTTTTCGGGTAAGTTCAGGTCTTGAACCACGATCCAAACAGTGAACCTATAGTGTTTGTTTGAGGCGGGGATCCGACAAATTTCTTGGATAAGAGAAGGGAAATTTGACTATCGGATTTCCGGAAGACGTTGCTCGGATCAGGTCGCTCAGTCTAGTAGGTGGAGAAATACTATAGGGGCCTGAATAGTTACCTCTACTAGTTTGGGGGTTCCTTACTATATTTATGGTATATTGGGCCCCACAACCCTATTCCAATTATAAAGGCCTCTATAGTATGCAGAGGTCTCGTGTGTATCTCGTGCGTCAAGCTCCTAGACGGAGTTTTGCATGTAGAGGTGTGGGATGGATAAACTTCAACCGAGTCGGCACATGGGGGCCAGAAGCGCGTTGCTGGATTTGAACTCATGCCGACTGTTCGGCAGGCCTCTAAGCTGAGCGCAGCACACAAGAATGGGGGTCCCTTTACAGGGTCGTTATATATATATATATATATATATATATATATATATCACCGCTCCGTGCTTTGCTTCGGTCCCTGCCGAGCTTCCCACATGTGCATACTACCCCTTCTACTGAGTCATACAGTCTCGTCATCTCGCAAAGCAGCAGAACTGATCGCAGTGTCGTAGTGGGCTGTACTTGTAAAGCATGGGCAGCACCGTGACACCTGAATGATAGCAAGCATTTGTGATACTAGTGCTACTTTCCCTGAGTTGAAGTTGAATAATCAGAGTATGATTAGGGTAAGCTGTCAGCCACAGACTTCCGACCCATGGAAGCTTCAGAGGCGATTGGTGCGCATTCCCAAGAGATTGAGGAGTTGATACCTCAGAATCAGAAGAAGAGAAAGAAGCGGAAGCCAGCAAAAGTCAAGGCACGGCCGAAAGCTGCATTGGGGTCAGGCAGCCCTATTCACGACAAATGCGGGTCGACAGTTCAACCTCAACTCTCAAAGCCGGCATTGGACATGGTGGTGGTGGTGGCAGCTGGTGATGACACGGAAATTGTTCGCAGTGGCATGAACGGGCCTGGTCCAGGACAGTATGTTGCGTCCGATGAGAGATCAACCACGGAGAGCCACCCCGTTTCATATGAGCAATTTCATAATGCCAACTTCCAACCTGATGCATGGCTGGTTGTTTCTGATTTCTTTCTATGTGCCACGCAGCCAATCTACTTCTTGATCGTGTGGCTTCCAAAATGCTGCAGCGTTATCGGGGCACGGTGGCGCGAGGAGATAACACGGGAAGATGGATTGAGGGAGCTCCGTCGACACCTGCAGAGCGTTAATTAGATGCTGGATGGAATAAGCGTTCCGAGCATGGTGAGCTTCAACTTGTTGGCATGGTTCCTGGCTGGGCATGCTAGAGACCAGGTGTCTGTTACCGAGGCTTTGCAGCCCTTTTGCTTCTGTGCGGCGCTGTGCTTGACAAATGCTGCAGCATTCCACGTCAAGTTGTCTGAGGCTGTCGAAATTGATCAGTTTCGGGCTGTCGACTGCATTGGCAGACTTCGCATGCATCATGAGGTTAAGTCCAAATTTCAAGAGCTGGCTTCTTGTTACAGCTCCCTGGGGCCGACATCCGGGGTAGTAAAAGAATTGCGGCTGCAATCTGACCCACTTGTTCGTCGCCAAGATCCATCAGTGGTCCGTGAAGCTTTTTCTTTGTGCCGTCTCCAACTTAAGATGAAGCTTGCTTTACATGAGTCGCTTCTGCGGCACCTTTCGCGCATGAGAGAGCAATGCGACTGTTGGGTACTTGATGAGACAATCACAAGTGAACAGCGACCGGCGTTCTGGAGCAATTTCACAAGTGCTTACTGTAAATACTTTGATGATGGCAACATGCCCTTGGAGATTCTAGCGCAACAGTCTCTTCTGGGGTGGCCGCACAAAGAGGGTATGCTTGACACACTGGCGGTTGGCGTCAGTTGGCTGCAGTTTCTTGCGGCATTATGCTTGGCCACTTTTGCAGCCCTTGTTCCGAACTTCATTCGCAATCCTGAGTTGAGCTTTGGCTTGCCGAAAAATGGCTGGTGTCGGGTCGTTTCACTTCTGTTCATGGTCTATACTTTTCGATTTGGGATGCTTCTTCTCTACCGTCGGCCAGCACGCATGATGTCCCTCTTGGCTGAAATGGTGGGTACGTACAAGATCCTGCAGACGATGCTCATGGGTCCAACAGCAGCAGTTGCACAAGGTATTCCTTATGTTAGGGTGGGCAGCTTGAAGGACATCGGGGCGTGGTATGAGCTTTACAGCTTCTTTATTGCAAGCACGCAGCGACGCAAGTTTACAGCAGAGGTTGCCTTGGCAGTCAACCTCCTTATCGTTCTTACAATGTCAGGCTTGCTGGTCTGGCACACCACCGACCCTGACTGGAAGCCTGGGGTGCTATTCTTCGAAACCCTTGTCGTCCTCATTTCGTTCATCCTGTTCTCCGTTCCCCCGCTCTTCATGGGCCTCAGAGCCAACCTCCTGAGGCAGCGCACGGTGGACTTGCTCTGGGGTCATGTCACAGAGTCACGTGCATACTTATCCTGTGTTCAGAACAAGTCGGAACAATCCTTTGAGACTGAAGAGATCCGTGATGCTATCGGTCTGACAGAGTCGATTGCGCAGAGGCTGCGGTTGGATGCTGCGCTGGTGTTGAGGGTCGTCGGCATAAAGCTGACGGTTGCTCAATTCACAGCAATCGCATCAGTGATGTCCACGGCAGCTGCACTTATTTTGAGGTATGTGGATTGGCAGCGGATTGTCGACAGTGTAACGATTTCTGGCAACTAGTGTGCAGGCCAGGTCTTTTTGCAACCACGGAGCGCACAGATGCTTGCTTGTGTGCCGTGCTATCACGGACCCACACAAACTTGAGCCGCTGTAAGGCGAGCCAAAGCGATGTCCGAGTCTAGACTAAGTTTAGATGGGATACCGCTCGCTTTAACCTCGTCTCTCAAAGGATGCAAGACTGTGAGATAGAGCAGTGCTGGGAGTTTCGGGCTTGGTTACAACTGTCTAGTTATTCTTCAGCGTTCTTCTGCAGGCTCCTGTACCTTCTTTAGCCCAAGAGATAAGGTTTAGGGTTTAGGATCCTAAAGACGAAAGGAGAGACATCATCCAGAGCTGGCCTATTCTGAGCTTTGGATGTAAAGCTCCCGGACTTAAGATCCGAAACCTGCAGCTCGGCACCCGAATCCCTTCTGATGTTTGAAAAATCGTTGTGGGAAGGTTTAGGGCTTAGGGGTGCCCTTGTAATCCCCATATGAGAACATTGCATGACCCCGGAGACCTTAGTATATGGCATCTGCAAGTCTGAACCTCGATATGTCAAATCTGAACCCTCTGCTAACACGAAGCCTTCAAAACGGAGCCGCAAGCCCTAAACTCTCGAAGCCACCAAAGCTGCAAAACCTGACCTCCTAAGCTCCTGAGCCTTTAGGGGGTTTAGGGTTTAGGGTAACCGCTAAGCAACAAGACTTGCTGGACCAGTCTCAGTCCAACAGCATTACAGCGAAGACTCCAGGAAACGGCAGACTTCAGTTCATCTCTCTCCAGACCCCACTAAACACTAAACCCTAAACTTTAAGCCCAAAACCCTAAACCCGAAACCCTAACCCTGAACCCTGAAGGCAGGCCGTGAGGTTTAGACACTGAAACTGAAGATTCAAGCTCACTTGCCTGGATTCTTGTAAACCTTACTTACTAAGGCCCCCCCTGCAGAGCCCTAAACGACGTGCATCTCAGCCTTTGAATCGGTGCCTGACGGCGCCAGCCCTGCTGTGCCGGGGCTTTCTTTCTTTCTCCTGTGGTACGTTCCAGCCCCACTCCTTGAACCTCGAAGGTGAGCCTTAAATCTAAACTCAAAGAGCTCGCAAGCTGGAGTACTAAAGCCCTCAAGCCTAGAACCTCGAACCTAACTCCTACACCCTAAGCCGCACCAAATCCCGACTCTTGGAACTAGATGTCGTAGCAAAAGTATCTCCGCAAAATTCTCATGTGATAGAACCCTTAAAGGAATCAACTCATAGTGTCAATTACTTGCAACCCAAATTAGTGGCCTGTTTGACTCATAACCTTACTTGCTAAGTCTCCTGACTCCTTACTAGGCCCTAAACCCGTACGTAAGCCTTCTAGAAGTCCTATAGATCTTATGGACGATAGCCTTGCTGACTACCAAACGGGCCCAAACAATTACCAACACAACTTTGGGGGGTGCATTCTCATGACTACAGTATAATGGGCACCAAAACCCTACTCTAATTATTAAGGCCCCGAATATAGAACCCTACTATAGATCTCGTACAGACCCCTTATAGAAACCTTGAAAGGAACCCTACTCGGGCGACTAATATAGAACCCTACTATAGATCCCTTGTAGACCCCTTTCTTATAGAGCCCTTTAAAGGAACCCTACTCTGTAATTGTTGAGGCCTCTATATCATAGTACCCTTATAAGTAACCCCCAAAGTACCCCTTACAGGACCCTTTTGAAGGATCCCTACTTTAAATATTGAGGCTCCTAAATTCCGTCTCCTGATGGTGCAAGTGAGGAGCCGCCACCGGGAAGCGGCACGTGCCGACCTGAGCAGCCGACTGGGGCGCTGCTTTTCCGTAGGGTGTAGATTTACATAAGTTTAAGGATTTTTGGGGTTCAGGGTTTAGGGTTTGAGGACTTTTGGGTTCTGGGTCTCAAGGTTCGTTTGGGTTGAGGGTCCGAGGGCCTTTGGGGCTCAGGGGCTTAGCTTTCGGGTTTTCGGGGTTTTTCAAGCGTTCTACAGGGGGTTTTCAAGAGGCTTAAAGGGGCTTCGGGTATGAGGGTTAGGGTTCAGGACACTGGTTTTGGGTTGAAAGGTTTACGGTCTTGGATGAGGATTTTGCGGTTTAGGGCGGTCTAGGTGTTTCGGTTTCAGGTAGGGCTTAGGGTCTGGGATTTAGGTGTTTCGGATTTGGGTTCAGGACCCTAAGCCCTGAAGGCGAAATCCCAAGGTGGCCAGGCGTCCAAGAGCATCAGACGCGTTACACCTCAACCGGAACCTCGCACAACCCTTCATTTTTGCCAGAGTTCTGCAGGTTCTATGCAAGACCCTGCAAGAATAACGACAGCAAGCTGATTAAGCCCCAAACCCTAAACTCTTCAGCTGAGGAAGTTAAGCCAAAAGACGGCCTTCGGTTTAAGGTTTAAAGGCTTGTAGGCTTTGCGAAGTTCAGGGTGGGAGGTTTGACGTTTGCGGCGTGTGGTTTTCCACGTTACTTATAAGGGACGTCGTAGCGTGGTCTTGACGAGGTAACTATCCTTTAAATTGACTCATTGCCCCAATTCAGTTCAATTCTTCCCAGCTTACTTTAAACCCTACCCAGAGACTCCAATATCCCTTAATTAAGGAATATTCCTTAAATTATGGTAGGATCCCTTATATGATTTAAGGTATATTCCTTAATTAAGGGATATTGGAGTCTCTGGGTAAACCCCCCAAAGCCCAGAATCCTGAACCCCTAAACCCTACAAGTCCGTTGAAAGTCAGAACCCCAAAACACGTGGGTGGTTGTCAAAATTATGGTCCCTTTTTGGATCCCTAATATGGCACGGCACCGAATATTTAGGGTACCCAAAAAGGGGACCCTAATTTTGACAGCCACCCACGTAGTCCAGGGTTCTCGGTTCAGGCAGAAGGATGCCGACGCGCCTCTGCCGGACGACGAGGACCTGGATGTGGCGGTGGAGACGTGCCGCAAGCTGCAGCCAGCATATCCATACTTCGTAAGTTTGCTTACGATTTAGGGATTTGGTGGTTTATAGTCTTAGGCCTCATGGTTCAGGGTGCAGGATTAAAGGTGTCTGAGAGTCCAGAAGAAAGATGTATCTATAGCGCTATCGTGCCTTGGTTGTAGCTTTGGTGGTGGCTGTGATTTGGGCTTTCGGATTCATGTCTTGTGTTTGGGACCGGGGAGTTCAGGGGCGGGTGGGACTTCGACTTGGAGATCTCGGTGACCGGAGCCTAAAACTTCCAGGCGCAGGATTGCCCCAACCATGCATACTCGGAGTGGCTTCGGGCTTTGAAACTTTGAGGGTTTAGGCCGGGCTGTTGTCTTTCGTTTACAACCGTTTTTTCAAGCTTTCACAGCTGCAATACACGGACCATTCCGGCAGCTGATGACTCACGGGTGGCCACGCGCGCCTGTCTTCCTACGAGGCATCTGAATCTAACGAGGATCCACGAAACATTTATAGTGTCTCCCCTTCAGCGGAGCAGCCACCTTGGAGCAGCCAGGAATCGGCTTTCATTACAAACAGGCGCTCGAAGCGGGGTTTAGGGTTTAGGGTTCAGGGTTTTAGGGTATTAGGGCTTATGATTTCGGGTTTAGGGTGGATGTTACCAGCTTGGAGCTCCTTCAAAAGACTTGCAGAGCGCCAGCGCTGCAACGAACAGTTATTGGAGTCCTACTCCTAGGTAGTATGAGCGAGACCCCTTGAAGGGGACACTTCTTAACCCTACTTCTGGCTCTCTTAAAAGGGACCTTATGAGGGTCTATGTTATAGTCTATATCCGCAAGAATTCCACTGATCTACCCATACTTCCAAATCTTGATCCCAGATCTCCCAAACTCCATACCTTATATAAAAACTCTATAAGCCGCAACCTAGACCCCTAAAACTCAAAGATATCATTCAGCACACACCTAAAGCAGCCAAAACGCCCCAACACACAAACCCTAAACCCTAAACCCTTGAACCCTAAACCCTAAACCCTGAACCCTATCTTCGACCCTAGACCCTAAGCCCCGATACCCAAAAGCCTAATACGAGAAGCAGAGCCCTCAGCCCGAACACCAGGAGTTCCAAACTTCGAACCCCCGGCCCCTCACCTGGAGGTTTGAATTCCTTACGGTTTAGGGCTTAGGGTTTAGGGTTTAGAAGTTGATGATATAAATCCTGCATTACTTCCTTCACCTGGAGGTCTGAATTCCTTAGGATCCCTTAATTAATATAGGGGCCTACATAGTTACCTATACCATTTTTGGGGGTTCCTTATTGTAATGATAATATAAGGGGCCCCGAAGCCCTATTCGAATTATTACGGCCCCTGTATTAATGCACTCGTAAGCGAACCCCTGAAGCTCTATGAGGGGTCATTTACAAGCCCACAAGCAAACCCAGTCGGAATCCCCCAACCCTAAAGCCAAAATTCCCAAATCCCTCGCCCCAACCCGCAAACCCTACGCCCTAAGGCTTTTAACCCGCAATCCTAAACTCTAAACCCCAAGCCCTACCTGGACCCCAAAAGTATGTAGACCAATAGCCGTTTATAGGTGTTGGGCCATAAAAGTTACCTACTTTTGAGGGTCTAGGTAATGTAGGAACCTGATTAAGAAACCCTGGTCCTTTATTTAGGGTTCCTTATATGAATCCTACTATTTTTGGGGGGTTTGAGGCCCATGGTTCCTTGATCAGGCTCCTACATTAAACCCTAAGCCCTAAACCCTAAACCCTAAATCCTAAACCCTAAACCCTAAACCCTAAATAAAATTGGAACGATACAGAGAAGATTAGCATGGCCCCTGCGCAAGGATGACACGCACAAATCGAGAAGTGTATCAAATTTTTTAAAAAACCCTAAACCCTAAACCCCTAAACCCTAAACCATTTAACCCTAAGCCCTCCGGCCCTAAAGCCGAACTTTAAGCTTCCTGTCGGAGTTCAGGTCTCCAGCTACGCCCGTCAGCGCAGATCCTGCCGAGGCGTCCTTTCCCTGAGCGTCCTTGGGCCGGGTTTAGGGTTTAGGGTGGGCCTCTAAGGCTTTTCTCCGGAGGTTTCTATATAGGGTTTAGGGTTTAGGGTCAAATGGGCTGCAGGAGGGCTTGATGTGGGGTTCGTAAGTGTTTCATTATGGTTTGTTCTTTTTCAAACATGTGTTGTGTTGGGTTTTAGGGGCACGTAGGATATGCTTTAGTCGAAAGGGGTTCCTGTATAGGTAACTAAAGGCCAAAGGATATGCTACACATGTACATGTATTAGGGTGTGGAGTTCAAGGACCTGGAGGGCTGCTATAGTAGAAGCCAGAAAGTTGGAACATTGGTATCCTCATGCCCTTCAGGTGAGGCATGTAAAGGATCCTCGCACTAAGCCTGCTTAAACCTATGCTCCAACTTTCCGGGGTTCACTATAGGTCTTATCACTTCGAAGTTTGGGGTTTAGGGTTTTAGGTTTCAGAGGCCGACAGGTGGTTTCGTACCTGGTTAGGGCCTCCCGCCTAGAGCCTAGACGCATCTCAACACCTCTGAGGGTCTTCAGGATTTAGGGTTTTGCTTCGGATCGCAGATATCTTGAGGAGCCCGAGGCTTACAGTCAGGCAAGGAGCCTGTCTCCTCAACCCAAAACCAAGCCATAAATCCTAAAACCGCGAAACCCTGAGCCAGAGCCAACCGCCCGAGATGCAGGAGAAGAGTGCTCTTCACCCAGTCGCGCTTCAAGCAGCGAAGGCACTGGATGATCCAATGTCGATGTCTGAAGTTTTAGGAGTAAATGTCTCTTTATAGTTCCTATAGTCACATAAAGCTTATAGTCGCAAGCCGAAAGCCTAATGTAATTCAACCGCTACAGGTGCTCGCCGTCGACTCTGCAGCTGTACTTCCGAGGTTGACCCAGGGCCCTAGCTCCGGAGCCCTGAAGCCAGAACTCAAAAGGGTAAAACGAGGGACCCCTAATAAGGACCCCCAGGTATATACCCATTGTAAAACCGCAAGGGATTCCCAATGCGCAAAACGCCTTTTGCGCCCCAGCGCGTAGCTCTGCCTTCAAGGCAACCAAGGGCCCTCTTGGGCCGTAAAGCGAGCGAGCATTCGCCGTCGATAGATGCAAACTGACAGAGGGACTCTTTCGGTTTTACACGCCCTCAATGTGAGCTTGCTTTACAGTGCCTGGTGCTGCTCCGAACACCAAACACAATCTTCATACAGAAACTCAAGAACTATCGACTGAACGAAGCATCGGAAGAGGGAGACCTGCTGATCTCCTGGTACATCTGCTAGTCCTCTACGAAGATTCTCTGACCGCAGTGGAGCTCCTGGTAGCGGCTGTCGATCGGGTAATCGGAGGCGATGAGGAAGGCCGCGAGGTCGGAGGCTTTTCCGGCACAGGGCTTCTGAGCATCCTGGAAGTAGGTATTCTTGACCCACTTCAGGTAGGACATTACATCACGATCATTCCAAGCGACTTTCAGGATCGCCAGGTAGCTCCACTTCTTCTCCTTGTACTTGGGCAGGACCAAGAGAGTCTTCGACCACTTTTCCAACGACGGAATCCCGCGGGGCAGGGTGCCCACGTGGGTTGCCGGAAGCTGGTACACCTCCTCAGCGGCATCCGCCGGGGAGCGCATCCATGAGCTGCCGATGGACTCCACATCGGAAGCATCGGTTGTCATCGTCGGCGTCGGGGTAGACGAAGAGGATGGGCCCAAGCTCGTAGGGGAGGGTCTGGCCGCTGCCCGCCCTCCAGGTCGAAGATGGTATCCACTCCCGGCTCCACTCCCGGTGGGAAGGTTCACCGGAGTAGGAGGGGGTGGTCCTCGTGGCTGATTCACCGGCGAGGGTCGCGGTGGCCCATTGATCACATTTGGATCCGGTGGACCATGGACGAGCAGGTACTCGCGGTAGCTGGCCGTGGAAGACGTAGGACTTGGGTCCTCCGGGTTCCGACGCTGGGTCTTGTCCGGACGGTGAACATCCATCTCACTTTCCACTTCGTCCAGCTGATTGTTGGCCGCGGCGCGGCGTATGAACTCCTTCAACTCATCCCGGGCGATGGGCTCGAGCGCACTGCGTTGCTGCTTGAGGCTCCGGGCGGTCATGCTTGCACGGAAGGGTGCACGGGAAGAGGAAGGCTATCACCTAGCTTACGCCGTCAGCTCAGGAGAACTTGCAGCACAGAGAACGCACAAGTACAGTTCTCCGGTGGGGCTTCACATGCCAAGGCAAACATTCGAAGCACATTAACTGGCAGATCTCACTTCTGCATGCAGGAAAGAGAAGCCAAGAGCACATTATCACAACACCAGCAATCGATGCGGTGTGAAGTTCGGCAGGCGACATCTGTACAAAGAGCAAAACGAACAGACGCTATGCTGATACATGTCAGGCACCTCGCAAGTGTAGGCAGACAACCCGCTGTCTTCCCTACTTCCCTATCCGGGGTGAATCTACTTACCTGACATGCGGCTCTTGTCACCTAGTGGCCTTTGGTGGCCCTCGTCGGGCCTGTCCGGCGAGCGGTTTCTTTGCGGCCGGACTCCTTGCTGGGACGTACATGGTACTTACAAGCATCCAACAGGTTATATAGGACTTCCTTATTGCCTTTGAGCTTCGTGAGGCAGTCGGCTACCATCTGAAGATTGTTGGTCCAGTAGGGCTGCACACACCGCTCAGACAGACAAGCCCTTGCGATCGCATAGTCAATTGCAAGACGCTTCTCCATAGCCAGGGCACTGCTGCAAGCAGATCGCGTGAGGGCGTCATACAAGGATTTACTATCGATGACTAAACCTGAGGGGTTCTCGGGGGTCCACTGCTGAAAAACCTTAGGGGACATACCGTAGAGAACTTCTTGCAAGAAGGATTGTGCAAACTCGATTGCATCCAGACCGTTCTGGGCGGCCAGTGTCTCAGCCGCGGTGGAGCTACGGACGACCCTTCTAAGCTTCTTAGAAGACCATTCTATCACCCAAGTGGCACCCGGCTTACGCTCCAAGACATCCTGGTCACACAGGCAGAGGATCAGTCCGCCTTGGGACTCTCCGTTGGCGCGCACACCCCAGCCAGCATCTGTGATCGCTAGCAATCTCCATCTAGAGATGGGGATACAAGGGAACTTTAGGGTAACCTTACGGGTCTTGAGCTCTCGAACCGCTTTGTTGTACAATTCTAGATGCGAGACTTCAGCTTTATCCTGGGTGCCCTGCAAGTAAGATGCTAGGAATGACTGCTCCGGGCGGCTGTGGTTTGCCACCCAAGCCAGCTGACCACAGCATGCACGCATCAAGGTCGGCTCGGGCAGTCGATTGGAAGCTTTTCCAAAAGGCTTGGTGCACACTTCTTCCATCTTATCGATGTAGGCTTCCTGGCTGACCTCAATGCTCATGTCGGGTAGCTGACGGATCTCAGCTCCCGTGTACTTGATTGTGGTCCGTCGAAAGTCTCCGAAGGGCAGGGTCCTTTTGAGGCGTTGAAGACACTTATCCATTGCAGTTGTACCACCGCCAAGCAAATCATCAACGTGGGTTCCACACACACCGAGGAGATCATTTGTGGATTCACACCGGAGTAGGAACACGCATGGGTCAAGCTGGGAAACCACTAGGCCTACAGCACACAGCTCTCGGGTAAGCCTAAGGAACCACGCCCTCGGGGCCTCTGCCAGGCCATACGCGGCCTTTTCCAACCGGAGTATGTCATCTTCATCTAGCTGCATGAACTCTCTTACTTCGTCGGGTGGCCGGAAATACAGGTCCCGATTCGACGCATCTCCTGACAAAAAGGCGGTCTTGATGTCGGCACCCCAGATTACCCAACCCTTACTTGCGCAGATGCTCAGAATGATATGCTTGCTTTCTTTGCGAAGTGTCGGGCTATCGGTGGCTATTCTACCTAAATCGGGGTCTTGGAAGCCGACCAACACAAGCCTGGCCTTACGCGACAGAGTTTTGTCATCGGGGTCGGAGGACTTCTTCCAGGTCAACACCCATCGTGAGCCTATGACTCGGGACTTAGGAATGCCCTTACCCTTAACTATGGTGGTGACCTTGTTCTCCAGCCAGCTCTGCCATTCCTTGCGCATGGCACCTTTGAATCGGTTCCGGTCGGCGGCACCGAGCTTTCTAAGGCTTACTTCTACCCTGCGCTTCTGTCCAGGTCGGGCTGCCGTCACGGCGCACTCGTCTAGGATATCCCATAGACAACCGATGTCACTAGTTATGTCAGTGGAGAAGACATCAAAGGACAGCTCACAGCACAGGTTATCAGCATCCGGAAGGTCTTCGGCTTCGGACTGACCGTCGAGGGGAGAATTGGATACTGGTGGCAGATCTTCCAAGTCCAGGGGACTACTGGGAGAAGGTTCGGCAGGTGGTAAGGATGGTGAATAATCAAGAGGAGTTTCGGGTATCGGGTGCTCTTCTTCTACACGCGCTACTTTGGACGAAGGTTCCTCAAGGTTAGGGGGATCTTCCCTTACACGAACCAAAGGCTCTCCTCGTGGCGAGGGCTCCGATGCACGAGCACGCCAGTACTCATCATCTCTGGTGATTCGCCGTCGGACATTTCTATCGGAAGGCGGTTCCGCAGGTTCGCCCTCCTGGTCGGAGCCGGGAGGTGTCAGAAAATCGGCATCCATAGGCAGCTCACCAGTGATATCGAAGAAACGTCCTGCGGGACCGCGCTTCGCAGGGGACACCTGTTCCAGCTCGTCGGGAAGACGGCCGGAGTAAAACTCCTGTGCCAGCTGCTTGAACACAACTTCATCCTCGACCACTGGACGCAAGCTCTCTGGAGAACACTTGTACATAAAACCGTTGACTACCACCCAAACAACCCGGGGAACCGGGCTGTCTTCTCTAAAACTTTCCGTACCAACTACCCGTCCAGGGCCGAGCCAGGAGCCATGCCGGGTAGCAAACTGGCCTTTTCCTTGCTTGCGGAAGACATACACGCTTTGACCGACTACATAAGGACCCCTAATAGGCCTGTTTCTACCCCTTATAGCACGGCACCATGTGGTATGTGCATGGGCTCGGACAAAAGCCTCGGCAGCCTGGTGGCGCACTTGCATCTTCTGTGCAAAATCGGTCTCAGCATGGACAGCGTCCTGAACGGCGGGATTGCGTTGCTCAGAGATATCAGCTAAGCTACCCGGAACCCGGGGTTCTCGACCAAGAAACCACTGGGCACTAGAGAAACCATGGCGCTTCAGCTGCTCGTTCCGGACACTGCAGCAACTCTCGATCACTTCTTCGGCCGGACGCTCAGTGGTCCGCCAAACCCGCTGGGCCATCATTCTGAGGATCTTCTGTGCAACTTCTACTCTGCCAAGCTGCCAATGTGACTCGGTGGCACTATCAAGCAGGGTGATGGAATTGCACCTAAGGAACTTCTGGAAATCCTCAGACATCCAGCGCTGGTCCGGATCGACATAGATCACTCGCGGTGGGCCGTAGGGGCGGCACCAAACGGCGTGACAAGCTGTCGCCACTGAACGGGGGCCAGGTGGTAGCACAATCTGCTGGGCAAAATCAGAAGCGTAGTCGACTACTGTAAGAACCTGAGATTTACGCTCCTCTATCCCGCTAACTCCATCCTTTTTCAGTTCAACCTGAACAACGTCAAGACCAACAATGTGGTTAGGGGTCTCGGTGTGTCTTAGGGCGGCAACCTTGTGGGATGGTGGAACCTGCAGCTCTTCGCACACCGGACATTTGAATTTGCGAATTTCCTCGACCACGCCAGTCGGTGCACGTGCACGCTGAGCCAGTCGAAGCATCTGTGGAATCGAGGCGTGCCCGGTGTTCACATGAAGTTTTTGAACCATGGCCTTGTAGGACCTTTGTCTAGGGACCTGAGGGTCAGGGGCATCCTCTGGCATCTCCACATCGGGCTCTGACTCCCTCTCGGAGTCCGCTTCATCATCCGTTTCAAGAAAAACATCATGGGTCGGAAGGACTTCAGTGTCCCTGCGCGCCAGGCAGGCCGCCACACTGCGGCAGAACAGCCTTGGGTATCGAAGACCCTGGGTGGCCATGAAATGTGCATGCTCTGTATGGTCCGGACATCTGCAACGGCGCAGCCCTTCGGCCAGGGCCGGATCACTGGTGACAATGCGTGTCGGCCGCTTAATCGGCAGCTTAGAATTCTTACAAACCAGACCGTTTGCACACATGTGAAAGTCTACTTCAAAGGCTGGGCCTAGGGTGATTTCCTGCCAAACACTAGAGGACACAGGGTTCTCAGCATGGATGTGGCCACCCAGCATGGTCTGCAAAAGCCACGCTTGCTCAAAGAGGCGAAGGCAGGGGCGTTGCTGTTGCCTTTGCCGGAGTATCTCTGCACCCTCCTTACCCCCTTTTGCAACTAGACCCTTAGCCTTGCTAGACCAACACTCGGGACACCAGGAGAACCATACATCCTTGGCACGGCAACGCCCTAGAAGCAAGAGCAGCAGACGCCGGTCTCTGGCTCTCCGAAAATCCTGTCCGAATTCAAGCCCTAGCTGAATACTGCAGAGACCACGGCGGTGCTCGGATTGCTTGGAGAGCGATGTCGGGACAGACGATACTTCTATCAAGCCTATAGGATCGCTAAGCTTAGACCCTTGATCCCCAAGCCATTCTTTAAGTTCGTCTTCAACCTGTCTTGGCTGCTCTTCCAGGGCGGCAAGTGCCAGCTGGAACGGCACCCTGCGTGTGGATTCGACCTGCCTAGCTATCTTAGCTCGACTACTGCTAGGGACCGGGAGGTGACTAAGGGAAACCCAATCAACCTGATCATACATGGCTTCAAGGGTATTTCCAGCAGCGTCCGAGTCCATACACGCAGGAGGCACATCTGCTTCTGGCGTCTCAGGCTCGCAGCAGTCACACTGCTCGGAAGCCGGTGGTGCTTCACTGCCAGCCTCAGCAAGGACAGTGGTGGAAGGGTTCTTATGTTCCACCGGGATCTCGGGATCTAGAGCCTTAGCTTGTCTGCCCTTTGCTTTCGGCTGCCTACCTTGCACACGTTCAAGGATTACCGCTGCACGCTGTGCTTCGGGCGGCTGGTGTCTGTAGGCAAAGATGCACGCTCCGGCACGGTCAAAGTTCTCCCGCCTGGTGCTGGCAGGTCGCAGAACCCACTCTGAAACTTCAAGGGCACCCGACGGGGCAAGGTGAGCCACAGCACGATAGAGATCACGGGTCGCTGCTGGCTTAGGCACTCGCTCAAACCTAGGCCTGTAGGCACACAATGCAAAATCGACACTCTGGCCAAACATCAAGCGAAGATCGTTTTTGTATGTTCCTACGTCGGCTTGGGTGTACCTAGTATGCTTCATTACCGTCTGAAAGCAACGCCGGAGGTCTGACTGGGTCGGTGCAGTAAGGCGACATTTCGGGTCCGCAGTGTTCTCGGGAGTAGGGGTTAACTTGTTTTCTGCATTGTTATTAGACCCAGGCACCTCTTCATCGAAGGCCTCGGTCGTGTGGAAGACGGCCTCGCCCTCCGCATCTGGAAGCAGGGACATAAGAAGATGTCCGTTCGATGCCTGAGCCAAAGGAACTGCCTCCATGCCGTGCTTCTGGCTAGTGATCGTACTGTCCTTCAAGTTCAGTGTAGCTTCCATGCCCTGTAGAACTTTCCTGGACAGTAGAAACGGCGCAGTCCCTGGGATGACGTAGGTCGTGATCTGACCCCACAACTGCCCTATAAGAACAGTCCAGCGTAGTCCATCTCCTGACAGCGACTTCATGCCATTGAAACCCTTCAGCTGCACAGGAGGAAGAGCGACCTTCACTGGCTCTGGGAGGCCCTTTTGCGCCCACAAGGACGCGTACTTGGCGGCAGTGTCCTGGCCGATCACAGAAGTAGTGCAGCCTGTGTCCACCACGGCCATTCCAGTCGGAACACAGGTCGCAAAAACATCGGCGTCGCTGGCCTCGTGCGACTGGTCTTCCACCATGTAGGAAAACTCGGTGAGCACCGCTCCATGGACCATGCTCACCTCTTCCCTTCGCCCTTTTCGACCGCCCTTGGCGCGGTCGCGGTCGCGGTCGGGCTTCCGACCCTCCTTCCGGTGGTCGTACTTGAAGGTGGGCTGCACGGGCAGCCCATCGGCTGGATTCGCGGATCCCGCCGGCAAGGCGACAACTGGCATGTAGGGTTGCCGCTCTTTCTTGATCTCTCGGACCTTCTTCCGACTGTCCTTGTAGGATCTGTAGGCGCGCTTTGCGTCCTGCTTGGCCTTCTTGTGGACCTCGTAGGCCTCCTCATATTCCTCGTCCACCTCGCTGCCGGTAGCCACGTCGGCCTCCAAGGCTTCTGGATCCGAAAAGGAAGGCTCGCTGCAGCTGCTCTCTTCCTCAGCAGCCATGACCGCGCCCCGGTGTGGGCGCTGGGCCGGTCCACGATGTCCATCGCCAAGCCGGTCCTCGTAGTCGGAGGCCCGGATCACTTTCTCAATGTCCTCGAACTTGCACGAGCCGCCCGTGGAGCGAATGACCTGGCTTCTCTGCTCCCGATTCAAGCCATACTTTCGCATGAAGAGGTGTCCCAAGATGACAGCCGGAAAAATCGGCTTCAGCTTCAAGTGTCCCACCTCCAGGCGGCCCAAGCTTTCCAGCATACGACGTTGGGCTCGGTCGTCGTCTGCCTTCTGAGTTCCACGGCTTCTGTGGGAACCACCCGAAGAAGGTGGCCCACGCTTCGGAGACTTCTCGCCAACAAAGCTTCCGACCGTCTTCGGGCCCTTGGTGTCGTCGGTCGCCTTGGCTGACGGATCTCCCGCTGACGCAGCCGCTGCGTCCACCCGCTCCTTGGTCAGGGGCGGTTCTCCGGAGCTGCCTCCGGATGTCTCGCTCTCCTCTTGCTCCGTGTGGCCCCCAGCATCAGGGCGTCGCAGAATGGACTCCCTCTTCCGCTTTGGAGTCTTGCGCTGAGCACGCTCCGCGGCGATCAGTGTCTCCAGTCTGCTCAACACGGCCTTGAAGCGAGAAACAAAAGCCGTCGGCCCTTCACCCGCTTTCCTCTTCAGGTGAAAGAGGAACTCATCCACGCACTCATTCAGCTCCGTCTCGGGCAAATACTTGTAATGCCCATCCAGTGCCTGCAGAACGCGCAGCCATCCATCTTCTGAGCGCAGCTCGCTGATAGATAAGTGCTCCGTAGCTCTCCAAGCCTCGCCAGTCAGGCGGGTCAAGATCTTGGGTCCCGCCAGCTTGACATGCTTCTCCTCCAACGAAGCCACATTCAGCAGTATCTTCCGCCGAAAATGCCTGTACTCCGAAGGTGCCCCGCTGAAAACCAGATCCCGGAAAGGATCACCCTTCTCAGCCATCGCACCAGCTACGGAGCCGGTCAGCACTATCCCTGGAGCCGCAGCTCCGCTACCATGTAAAACCGCAAGGGATTCCCAATGCGCAAAACGCCTTTTGCGCCCCAGCGCGTAGCTCTGCCTTCAAGGCAACCAAGGGCCCTCTTGGGCCGTAAAGCGAGCGAGCATTCGCCGTCGATAGATGCAAACTGACAGAGGGACTCTTTCGGTTTTACACCCATAATATAGCCATTATATACCCATTATATAGCCCATTATAGGGTAGGGGTCCCCATTAAGGGTCCCTCCTTTTTCCCCTTTGAAGAACCACGCTAGATCTGCTTTCAGGTACGAACAACAGGCGGAGAAGATGCGTCATGTCGCACACCTGTACGAACGGAAATACCGGGGAGTCAAGCCGTTCCCGTTCAGAAACAAGTTGAGTCTGCCGTTCCATTCGGACGTGATCGGTGGAGCATCACATACGCCTATCGACCTCGGCTTAGTGACATAACGTGACGAAGCCAAAGGCTAAAATATGTTCAGGGTAGTGTTTGCGTGTGCGCGTGATTGGTACGAGTGATCCAAGTGTTCTGCTCCCAAACCTGAAGCCCAAATCCTAAAGTTTAGGGTTTGGAGTTTAGGGCCTAAACTCTAAAAAACCCTGAGCCGAGAAACACGTGCGACCCCCACCTGAAGATGAAATGGTTTAGGGTCTAGGGTGTGTGGGCACGGGATAGGGTTGACGGTTTAGGGGGTTTAGGCTTTAGAGGTTTAGGGCTTAAGCTTTAGAGAACCCGTTAGGGCCTGTTAGGGTTGACGGTCTAGGGGGTTTAGGCTTTAGAGGTTTGGGGTTTAAGCTTTAGGGAACCCCATATCAGTCCAAGCCAAAACGCCCAAAGAGCCGCAGGGGCCGCCGCCCGCTGGCAAAGGCGGGAGCACAATTTAAGCACCAGGGTTTAGGGTTTAGGGTTTAGGGTTTAGGGTTTAGGCTGAGCTCTCACGACCCTTCAACCCTGGATCCAAAAGCCCTGCCCGGCTGTATACATCGCTTTAGCGATCTAATCAAATCTTCAGGCAACTCAGATGTTGAGGAGAGTACTGGTGCAAGGATACTACAAGGGCGATTATAAGGGTTATTACACAGGTTGCTCTTATCTACTATAAAGGCTGCTGTAAGAGTTACTGTAAGGGATTTAAGAAGGTTTTCTATACGGGTTACAAGAAGGATGGGTTTCGTGTCGGATCGCTGAACTCTGCGGGTGACACTGCCTGACAAGTTGCTAAAAACTCTCGACTATTGCCATGTACTCGTGCAGTCTACACTAGACCATACTATACCACACCGTATGTGACTACATTACCACCATAATATACTACATTGGTACACTATATCGTACTCTTACTATACAATACTGCTACGTTACTGCACTTCATGTCCACTTCCATAAGATACTAAACATTACTATGGGGGACCTAATGATAGGGGTTGAGGGCGACCACAAGGGTTACGAAAAGGTTTTTTTCCCAAAGCCCCAAGCCCTTAAACCCTGAAGCCCTAAACCCTAACACTTAGGCCCTTTGATTCCCCAACTCCGCTTGCAGCCCATGGGAAGCCTCCGCTTGCTGCGAGGAAAAGCCAAAGGCCCTGGCAAGCCGGCTAAGGCCGGCATACTTAGGGGTACTTAGAAATAATTTTTAATCTTTGGTTATTATAATCCTTAAGAAACAGCTAAAATTATAATTTTTGCTAGGGTTCTAAGTTCAGTATAGCATAGAGGTTTAGGGATTTGAGGTATAGAGATGTAGGGATCTAGGGTTTAGGGATTCAGGGGTTGAGGGGTTAAGGTGCTTTGGGTTCAGGGATTTAGGGTTTAGAGTTTGGGGCTTAGGTTTGTTTATAGCCATAGTACTTTTTACTTTTTTGCTGAGGGAATTATACAGCAGAAATTTGACAGGGCTTTTGGTACATAGGGGTGATATAGGTTGTCATAGCGGCTTTAGAAGGTAGCAAGGGGACTCAGACTCTGTAGAGTTCCTTGATATGCCCGCAGCATCGAATCTCCCGAGACGCTGCTCTGGTTATAGGCATCCAAAACAGGCACTTATATGGGAGTTTCCGAAAATTTCGGGGTACCTGTTTTTGGGGTCCTCATAATACGGGTCCTACTATTTAAGGTACTATATTGGGGTCCCCTATTTTCGGAAACTCGCATATTGCCTGTGTACGGCCCCATACGAGATTACAATGCCAGTCACAAAACAACAAGTAGAGGATTAGGTGCTTCAGATGTGTTCAGGCATGCGGGTTTGCTTTTCGGGATTGTAGGTACATCAACGTGACACTTCTTTGGACAGTTTTCAGGGCATTTTGCTGATGGATGCCAAACAAAGCTAGTTTTAATGCTGATTTCCCACCTCGCTAGAGTGAAGGACTGTTTAGTCTTTCCAGGCTCGATTGAAGCTTCAAGGCTTACTATAGAGGCCTGGACCTTCTCAGTTCTCAGAGTGGCGGTCGCCGTCTGTGCTACGCGAGGGCTGATTCAACAGAGTATACCGAACTTTGCTTTGGCCTGGAATTTCTGAGCGAAAGTGACGATAAAGCAGCTTCGGGTTTCGGGGATGTGATTACACATACTCAAGAGTTGTACATCTTGTTATCTCACATATTATATACGCACATATGCACGCACGCAGTGCCGAACGACTAACCATGGACCCTGAAAACCATATCCTAAACCCCTAACCCAAACCCTAATGTATCTGTCAGTGACCAAAAACCCCAATCCCCAAAACCCGAACAAACTTTCTGAGCTTGGCAGGGCCCACCGTTGCCGCCAGCATAAGGAAAGAGGCTCCCGGAAGTGCCGGTAGAAGGAGGGTTGAGGGATTTTGCGGCGCAGGCTTTTGGGTGTGAAAGCTAGGGTTTGGTGGTTTAGAGTTTAGGATTAGGTTGTTTTTCGGGTTTAGGACCTGACGCTTGACCGACTGAGTGTGTCTGCGGCTTTTCGGCCCAGGAAACTGCTGTGCTCCTATTGATTGAGAAGACTGGCAATCGCAAGACTCGCGTTTTCGGCATTAGTGGTGTTCGTGGGTTTAGGTAAGGAAATGTTTGTACTGGGACGTTTAGCGTTTGGGGTTCGGTAGGGTGTCAAGTCGGGTAGGAAAGGGGCTGTGGCAAACGAGGTGTAGTATTGTGTGGTTATTTTAGGTGTTATAGGGGCCTCGATAGTTGCTAATACTTTTTTGGGGTTCCTGGAAATACGGGGTGGGCGAAGGAACCCCACGCCCAGCCACGCTCCTTCCGGCTCGGTCCTCTTCTCACACATAGGAATTGCGAAAATGTTGCATACAATGGCCGTTACGGAAAGCAACAACAAGAGGGAACAAGAAATGCAGAAGCCGAAATGCAACTAACAATATTTTTCTGATTCCTGTTCTTGATGTTGTACGATAATCTAGCCTGCAGAAGACACTGCTCTAATTGTTGAGGCCAATGGATCACGGCTTTTGCCCCCAGCTTTACATCTGATAGCACGAAGATCCCCCAGGCAGTGCCACATGGTGCCCATGCGCATTTTCTAGGTGCCTAGAGGTTTGGGTTTGGGGTTCAGGATGTTTTCTAGGTGCCTTTGGCTGCACGGGGTTTTTGGTGCAGGGCTTTGCCGCTCTTTCAATGCTGGCCGGACACCCTAAACTCTTGTTCATAGTTTAGGTAAAGGTAGGGCTTCTGGCGAGGGGGTAATGCCTGAGCACAGTCAGAGTTCACCGGGTCTTCATTAACAGCCCCCAGCGGCAAAGGGGCAGCTTCCTTCTGACATATCAACAGAGGCATTTCTTTCGGATGTGCACATGTGCTCTTAAAGTAGGCAGGTACGTATACATAAAGTGGCTGTTTGCATAATGCACGCATGTGAGATATCATACAAAAGCGGGCATGCACACCTGCATGCAGGAAATATCCATAAATTGCTCGAGCACAGGTTTAGTCGAGTACATCCACAATATCGGGCCCACATGCAGAATCATATGAAAGACAAGAATACCCTCAACCCTAAACAGGCCACCCTAAACCCTAAACCCTAAACCATCAAGTTTCTGCTACGGCCAGGCCCTTCATCGATTTGTTGCCGGCGATCTGTACATACGGGGAGCTTCCATTCGGGTAGATGTGGAGTCCCCCGCATAAACCACACGTTTTAAGAGCTTCAAACTTTGAGGGATCTTACAGCACCCTGGGACTGCATTGTGCCTACGACCTAAATCCTAAAGCCTTAGCTTCGAAAGCCTTAGCTTACAGCCTTGGCTCTAGCTGCCCAAGCTCTGCGCCTAAAGCCCTGGTGCTCTAGGCCTGGTACTTGGGACTTAGAAAGTAGGGCTTAGGCTTCCCTTTAAGGGTACTATAGGGCTCTGTAACAGGGTTCCTTAAAGGGAGCTATAAGGGTTCTATAATGGGAGGATCATGGGACTTAGTATATATGTATGCTTATAAGTACCCTAAGTGGGGTTATATCTAATTATAGGTGTAGTTACCTTAAGTATAACCCTAGTTACTGAGTCCCATGATCCTTTAAGTATTGGAGTTTCCGTGAACCCCTTAACGTTCAGCCCTCAACCGTAAGCAACCCTCTAAACCCACATGATTGCCCCTATAGCAATCCTCTAAACCCCTATGGTAACCAGTGTAGCGACCCTCTAATAACGGCTGTTGATGCTGGGATTCTACCTTCGGCGCCTCATCTCGCGACGAGCTGATCCCATACTCAAGATTCCGAATTGCTGACTCATTCGGCTTTAGGGGTTTGGGGTCTAGAGTTTGGGGTCTAGGTTTAGGGTTGTGGGAACAGGGTTTAGGGTTTAGGGGTTTAGGATTCCGAAGTCCTGACTCATGCCTTGCGGTGGCTTCTCTCAGTGACGAGTTCTGAATTTGGATATGCTATAGGCTTGCGCATCGTGCATTTCGTTCAGGCAGTATAGGAAGTATCGTGCCAAAACGATTGACTGCCTTCCTATTTCGATGCTTC